GGGCAAAGGAAAAGACCCAAGACACAGTGAGGTAGAATCCAGAGTTCAAAGTGTGGCATGGCAAAGTAAACACACCAAAGCTGAGGCTTGAAAAGTTGTTCTCAGCATTTTCACTCAGGGAATGTGGCCAATAAATAAGCCAAGCTGAGCCACCACCCAGATGCACAGCTGAGGTACATTACTGATTAGAGTCTACTCTCCTGCCAGCCTCCTTCTTGGCCAGCCTGTCTGACTTGTGGAGCTCAGCCCTCAGCTGCTATACCTTCAAAGCTCGCCTCTGCTTGGGACTGGGTGGGTGAACCACAGTCTGAGGGGTTGTCAATGGGTGCAGGCAGGGAGTCCTGGGGGCTTGCTGGATCTGCCTTAGCCAGAGCGGAGTCATTGGCTTCTATACTGTTGGAATCATCCCATCCAGGACTATTATCCCTAGAAGCCCCTGGCTCTGCTTCCTCTTCCTCCTCCTCCTCAGAAGACAAGTCCAGCAGGGCCATACCATCGAGTTACCTACTGCCATTTCTGGATAATTACTTTAGAGAGAGAACATAGAAAACAAACATTTTCCCCCAATCAGGACAGTTTTAATGGTTTCCGTAAATTAAGCTTTTGAGTAATGTTCCTAATCAGTGGTTTAAAATTTTAAAAACATATAGTGTGGTAGTTTTCTGGGATATTAAAGTATGATTATTCTCAAATGATAAGTATTCTGTATTAATTTTTGCCTGATAATCTCTGTAAATCCATTCGTAATTGCCTTTCTCTATATTTTTTATTTTGTATGAGCAGCATTATTTGTGCTTCTTTCCATGATTATAGTATCTCTCTATCTCACAAAATATATTAACAACATGAAACAGAATATTGAGCTATCAAATGTTTTATAAAATTCTCCTGACAATCCATCAACATTCAGAGATTCATCAGATTTCCCTTCTGTATGGCTTCCTTATTTTTGTCTAAAACAGTGGTTCTTAAATTGGGGTAATTACCCCAAAGGAGTAATTTGAGCAGACCCTGGGATAATGGAGCAATTTCTAATTGCTTATTTGTGAGTCAGGAATGGCGTTTGGGACTGCCACTGCCAAGGCACTTGTCTGGTGTTTTGTTTTGGGTTTTTTTTTGTGGGGGTAATAAAATTATTCTAGACCTGGAAAAGGGGTAATTGGGTCAACCATTTTAAGAACCATTAGTCTAAACTAATTAAAGCATTCAGAGAATCTTTATAGTCTTAAGTTATATTAATTCATCAGTGGGTTCATATTTATATATTTTTTGAAAATTTCTTAAAATGTGAAACAGTTTCTTTAGTATTATAAATTAATCTGCAAGTAGGAGATTTAATAGAATATGGTTTTTCATTTTCTTTTTTAGTTCATAAACTAATAACTTAGAATTTAGTCTATCTTAAAAATTTCTTTCAAAAGCTGTGATCTTTTTTGGGGTATGCCTTCTTTTAGCTCTACTGCCTTCAACTGCAAACAAAAACTCTTCTAAATGCTTTCTTGTATCCCAGACCATTGGGTTAGAATCTCTTTTATTTAAATTAATCTGGGAAAATGTTAATTCCTCTTTAATTTTATTTAAAGTTTCTGTTTTATGCAACAGTGAGGAAAAAGAAAAAGATCTTGGGTATTGATGAGCCTCACATGTAGTTCTGCATTATAAAATTTTAAAAAACCACAAGTATCTTGAAATCACATTTAGCTTACTGACAATAGTAATCCTTTGATTTTTAAAACACATTTTGGACATCTTATACTGATAATCTGATTTCTTTAGATATGCTTTATGAAATCTGATATATGTTAAATTTTATTCATGACTGTACAAGTAATTTATTGATTATGTGCATCAAGTCATTATTGACTCTTAGTAACCACATAGATAGATTTTCTCAATGTGTATAAGTAATACACGAAGAGTATTTTATTTTGTTTATGGGCCTTTCTTTCCCCAAATAATTAAAGGTGATATAATCCTCTTGTTGGTCAACTTAAATGACCAATAGCACTCCAACTTCATAGTTCAATGGGAATTTAAACTTCTCTCCAAACATGTCCAACATTGTCTGTTCTGTACACCTCACTTGTTCAGTGGCAGCTAATGTGAAGCATTAAATGCCATTAGATCTTTAGCTAAAGTTACGTTGAGAATTTTAATCTAAAACCCAATAAAGACAACCAAAGAGAATTGTAGCTGCAGCAAAACTTTTACTTAATGTATTAAGAGTTAGAACAGGCTCCTACAGTCATATGGAGATAAAGACATAGAAAATGATTTCTCTGTTTATAGGCTATGGAACATATGCAGAAGCCTATTATAAGGAAATAGCTAGAAGCTGGCTTTCACTGCGTTAAATTAGGGAAATTGTATGTTTTAGGTGTAGCGAAACCTAACATTTTTACACATGGATAAATCACTCAAAAATGCATTTTAACAAATGTTCTTTCTATTGTTTGTAATCTTGCCAAGGCCTATTTACACTTATCTATTACTGCAGGGGTGGGCAATTCATTTTCCCAAGGGGCCACATGAGAAACTTTGACAGTTGTTGAGGGCCGGACCAATATACCTACAGTTCTGCCCAGTATGTATCTCTTTATAAAAAACAGTAAATAAAACATTACAATGATACAATGAAATGTGGACAAAAGAATACCACTATTTAATGAACATTCACAAAAACAGTTTCAGAAATGTGCAGAACTAGCATCTATTAACTTTACACAAAATATCAAATATTGTAAAGACCAGCATCACATTAACTTCACACAAAAAAGCAATAAATGCACCCAGCATTGTTTGTTTGCTTTACCTCAGTTATTTTTTTGTTGTTCAGTGATAGAAATCTAGCCTGTTTTGGGCTTGAACAAGTGCACTGAAGTCAGGTTGAATATCTGAGGTGGATGTGCAAAGGACAGCACACAAGTGATCATCACTTAGAGAGGATCTGTATCTGGATTTGTTGAACCATCACTGAGAATGTTTGTTCACATATGTAGGTGGATCCAAAGAGAACCAACATCCTCTGACCATGACTCCTTAAGTTTGGAAAGCTCTCCTTTTTGAGAGAAGAATAGAAATCCAGCAGTAATACTGACTTAAAGTGCTCTGCCAGTAGTTTGTCAGACTGCAGATTGATGAGTTCAAACTGGACATCACTGATTGCGTTATCCACACTGCTAGTGAAAGGAGAGGAAATCATGTGCATTTCACTCTCAACTGTTTTAAAGTCTTCAAATGGTCTTGAAAATTCACTATGCAGTGTCCCTAACATGGATGAGTACCTGCGGAGGTGATCAGCTGATGGTGTGACTTCCTTCAGTGTGGGCATGTGGGCAAGAATGTTGCCCTCCAACTGGCTTGAGAGAAACTTCAGCTTTCTCATGAAAGCCTGCACCAGGCTGTACATTTCATGTACAAAAAGGCCCTTGCCTTGCAGCTTGATGTTTAGTTCAGTCATTAGTGCAGTCACATCAACAGCAAAAAGCAGGTCTGCCATCCAGTCTGCATCTGAGAGCTCTGTGATATCCCTGCCTTTCTTCTCACAAAATTCACGTATCTCTGCTCTCAGATCCCATACTCTTTTAAGCACCTTGCCC